ATTAATAACAATTTTATTTTTAATTAAAACAGTTTTCTTCTTCTTTTATCATTCACAGAATATTTCACCGAGTAATTTAGTTATTGTCTCATTAAAAAATATCCAAAATTGACTAAAATATCGCGAGTTGAAGTGAAAAATTTAATTAAATTTTATGTTTTTAAAAAATGGTTTTTCCTCATTATTTTGAAAACGGTAATAAATAGAAAAAAATTTTATAAGAAAAAAAGATGCGCAATCAAATTTTCTATAAGAATATGTATAATAAACATTTTAAATCAAAAGTTGAATTTCAAGTGGCCAGGGGCCAACGTTTTTCAGCGCGGCGAGTTTATGTGCCCTTCTTTGATCCGGCAGCTCAAATAAATGTTTGCGTCAAATAATTGATATTATAACATCACCAAGAATAGTTTCTGCTGATATTAAAATATTAAATCAATTAATAGAAGACCGCAATTCATTATATATTCAAGTTGGCGAAACTCTGTACCCAAAATTTCACAACATGGTTCATTATCCTCGTATTTTGGAAATGTTTATATACCCGATGAAGATAAACGAAAAAATGTAAATATTATCAACAGGTAAACGTTAATGGCGTTCTATTCAAAATTGGTATGTTTTTAATTATTAATGTAAGAAGCATTGAAAAAGATTTCGGGGAAATTATAGAAATCATCGATGTAAACGATGATGTTTACTTCAAAGTAAATGTATTTACTGAAGTGACGTTTGATGACTACTAACTATCATGCTTACATAGTTAAAGATAGTTGTAGAACAGATTTAATAAAGCACACTGATTTGCCTGTGATTGTTACAACTGTCAGTAACAACACAACAATCTCACTTCATTGCTGTGAGACACGGGTTGTAATTCTCTTTATTAATGATTTGTAAATTTATATTTATAAAAATTTTATAATTGACTATAATAATCTTTGTATTTTCTTTCCTTCATTTTTGCTACTCCTAAAGTTAGACTTTTGTGCATATTTTTGTTTTTTTAATTTTGATAGATAATATCCCATTTCTTAATTTTTTGAATTTAATACCTAATATTATTTTAGTTTTTTAAATAATTTAAAAAAATCTCTATTGATCTTAATCTTAACAAATTATTGTTTTTGTTTATTATTTTATTTTACCTTTGCGTTGGAGTTATAAATTACAAAGACTCATAAAACATAAATGCGCAGAAAATTAATAAAAACTTGGAATATAGTTGAGAAGTTGTCATTGAAAATGGAATATTATTCAAATTTTTTTTCTTTGCTTTTAAAACAAATTAGCATTTTGTACTAAAAATTTCAGGTAATAAACAAATAGGTAATAAAAAAACCTAATAGTTCGACATTTTTTCTTTCTTTTAACAAAATTATAAATTTTAAATTCGTTAAAAATTAAGCTTAAGAAATAGAAAATATTGTTCACTTTTTTTGTTTCTCAATAACAATGTACATACATATACGTTTTAATTAGAAGAAACAGAAAAAATTTTGTAAATCCCATTTTGTTTCAGAAATTTTATATTTCTTATGAACAAAATATCCATTTGTTAATTACAATATTTACAAAATAATAAAATAAATGTAAATAAAATAATTAAAACATAACCTATAGATTATAATTATACAATTACTCTTCCCTTAATATCAATTCGACTATTTTTTAAATATTAAGATCATTCCTACTAATTTCAAAATCAAATAAAGTTGCAGATAAATTTCAGAATAGTATATTAAGCAACAAGGGTATAAATGCAGCCATTTGTTTACGGTGCACAAAAGTGGCGATTTCAGATAGCAGACGACAGAAAATAAAAGTCAGTCACTTGTTCGACTTATATGAAAATGGCGGCCGTTTTCTTCCTTGGGCAAAAATAACGCATGGGATCAGTGGTTATGTTTGCACATGGGAGAAAATGGACGCCATTTTCATATGGTCGAACAAATGAGTGACTTTACTCCCTGTCGTCAGCTTTTTAAAAGCGCTATTTTTGTGCATGTGGGATAAAAAATATATTTTTTTCCATTAACTGTATTAAAATTCTAATTTATAACATATAATGAATTACTAAAAATTAATTTTTAACCCCTTGGTTGTCAACAAGATTTCCACTGTTTGGGCCAAAAGTTTTTTTGAAAAAATTTTTAATAAATTTTTATGAAACTTGGTGCCCTTAGGTTTCTGGGGTCGCTGATTACGAATCTGAGATCAGTTTTTCCAAATTCAAAATGGCGGATCCAATATGGCAGACGACAAAATAAAAAATTAATTATAATGGCTTGAAACTGAATACTCGGTGGTTTTTAGGGTCGCTGATTACAAATCTGACATTAGTTTTTCAAAATTTAAAATGGCAGATCCAATATGTCGGAAATTTTTGTTAACTGGTCAAATTCGCTTGAAAATGGTTACTTGGGGATTTTCAGGGTCGCTGATTACGAATCTGAAATCAGTTTTTCAAAATTCAAAATATCTGATTGAATATGGCGGAAATTTTTTTTAAATTTATTGAATTTGTTTGAAACTGGTTAATCTGACATCAGTATAATAATTTTTAGTAAAATCAAATTTCGTTAAATACCCTGACATTAGCTAGTGAATTAAATTTTTATAGTTTATTAAATTTTTTTAATTCACGCCCCCAGAATGTATCACGAGGAGGCTGCCATAGGATTTTACATTTTATTTCCTTATTTTAAAAAAAATTTTATATATTTTAAAAAATTTTTTTTATATACTAGACGCGTCGTTGCATGGAGCTACGTAATACTAAAACCCCTAAGTAACTTTCAAGCTAATCGAATTAATTTTTTATTTTGTCTTCCGCCATATTGTATCAGCTTTTTTGAATTTTTAAAAACTGAATTCCGTTTTGTAATCAGCAACCCTGAAAATCCCCGAGTATTCAGTTTCAAGTAGTCAATCTGATCAATTTTTTTATTTTGTCGTCTGCCATATTGGATCCGCCATTTTGAATTTTAGAAAAATAATGTCAGATTTGTAATCAGCGACCTCAAAAACCCCCAAGTGTTCAGTTTTAAGTCAATCTAATCAATTTTTACTTCCTCATAGAGGAAGTATTGTAATACCGAAATTTTTCGAGTTCGATTTTTTAAAAAAATCTTTATGTTATTTGACTTCAGAAGTTAAAAAATGACAATTTTAAAAAATGTCATTCCGTGTGTGTGTGTGTGTGTAAACGTCACATTTTCATAAATATCTCGAAATCATGAAGAGCTTTTGGGTTGAATTTTTTTTAAATTGTAGATCTCACCTGCGGACATAAAGTGAGAGTACTTTCTGATATATTAATAAAGTTTAACTACATTTTTTTTTTATTTTTAATTTTGCAAAAAAACGTTTTTCGCCCATAACTTTAAAAAAATGTTAGGACACCTATAAATGTTTTTCCATAATTTTGTAGAGTTTTTTTAGACGCATCTTTTGAGCCCTAATTAAACATTTTTCGTCCATATTAACCGGAGTTATTAAACTTTTAAAAATAAAAAATTTTGGAAAAAAAGACTTTTTTGAAAATTTTGTTGAAAAAGGTAAAAGTAACTTTAAAATTATCGTTATTTACTTGTAGAGCATTAAAAAACGCTTCGATTGACCCATTTTTTGAACCTAATTCGATAATAAATTTCGAAATTATTGGTATTTTAAAAACCAAAAATTGTGAAAAATGACATTTTCTCAACTTTTTTGTTTGAAAATTTTTGTTTAACTATTAAATTATTGTAACTATCTTGTAGGGTATTTAAAAATAAATTGATTAACCCAAAATTCAATCACTTTTACCATATTTATAAAAAGTTATTTATATATTTTTATTATTTTTATCTCTATGAGGAAGTAAAGTGTTCATGAAATGAGCACCAAAATTATAAAAAAAAATATACAACTTGGCAGCGGTTTTTATTTTGTTGTCCGCCATATTGGATCCGACATTTTTAATTCTGAAAAACTAATGTCAGATTTGTAACCAGCGACCCCAAAAACCCCCGAGTATTACGTTTTAAATCAATCCAATCAATTTTTTTATTTTGTCGTCCGCCATTTTGAATTTTTGAAAACGAATATCATATTCGTAATCAGCGACATCGAAAACCCCCGAGTAACCGGTTTCAGGAACATTTAGAATTAGAATTTCTTTATTTTGTCCTAGGGAATCCACGAGGACAAGCATTAAAAATACAATAAAAGAAAACATACAATTCATAAATCATGTAACAAAAAGAATTCTTTAAATTAATATTAAACAAAATAAAAATAACAATTGTAAAATTAATATAGTTAACACAATAATACAACAAAATAAAAGTACAGTTGTAAGATACAACATTCTAAGCCACTCTAGACTGATTGAGAAAATAGATGTTTATACAATACTATTTTGAATGTTTTTAGACAACTGATACTCTGGTAGTAATTTCATCTCTAAAAGTAAATTTTTCATACAAATAGGAAGGTTTTTTAGTTTTTAAGATAACATGCGTGAGACAACCAACAAACCAAAGACGCCTCTCACTCACGCTAAGCCAACCCAGCCTTAATCTATATGGTGTTATGTGTTCATCCATTTTTAAATTGAATATAAATCTCACACAAGAATTTAGTAGATTCTCAAGTTTATGATTTAATTCTTCAGTTAAATCATTATATACAGCACAGCAGTAATCAAAATGGGGAAAAATCAGAGAAGTAAGAAGTTTAAATTTTATTTCAATAGAAAGTGCTTTTTTGTTTGATTTGAAGTTCGATAATGTGGCATAAACATTTTTGTAAATTTTCCCAACATGTTTATCCCAAGAAAGAGTTGACCTGAAGATAACTCCCAAATTTCTAACTAAATCTACAAAAGGGATGAACACATTATCAACTTCAATTTGGTAGTGATTACTGAGATTAATATTATTTATGTACCAACTAGTTCCTATTATCATGGAACAAGTTTTATCAAAATTAACTTTAAGAAAATTTGTTTCCGCTTAATTAAAAACCGACTTAACATCATCATTAATCAAAGCTAGATTATTGTTTAAGTCGTCAATGCTTGAATGTAAGTAAATTTGCAGGTCATCAACAAAATACATGTGCTTACAATACTTGAGAACACTCCCCAGATCTTTCGTAAAAAGTATAAACAAAAGAGGCCCCAATACCGATACTTGAGGTACACCAGTTCCGGCGTCTCCCCACTCAGACATTTCATTCTGTCCTACAACAGCCTGCGTTCTACCAGACAGATATGATGCAAACCATCTTAAAACCGAACCCGACAAACCAATAGTTTTTAGTTTAAGAAGCAAAAGAGTATGAGGAACCATGTCAAAAGCCTTACTAAAATCAAAAAAGACAGTTATAGTTACTTTTCTCTGATCAATTGCTCTACATATATCATCAGCAGCAGAAACCAACAGTGTCTGAGTACTGAAACCTTTTCTGTAACCAGACTGAAAAGGGCTAAGAACATCATTACACTCAATGAATTCATTCAGCTGATAGTAGACAATCTTTTCAAGAGCTTTAGACAAAGAACTCAGAATGGCGATCGGTCGGTAGTCACCAGGCTGCTGCGGATCCTTCACTTTCGCTATCGGCCTAATGAGAACTCTCTTCCACATTTCTTGAAAGATAGATGTCTGCAAAGACATATTAAAAAGATCAAGCACATAAGGAAACAATGCTGGTATAAACTTCATAATTGCACTATTGGACACACCATCAAAACCCTGTGCATCACTTTTAATACTATTTAAAGCCTTTAGTAACATAGAACTACATACATCCACAAAATAAAACAAGTTTTCATCAAAATCACAGTCAATGAGTAGATCAGAAATAAAGGAAGGTGTTATATTAAAAGATGAATTTCCACTAATAGATAAAAAGTAATTATTAAGTATATTAACATTGAAAGTAAGTGGAACATCATCCTTTTTATCCTTAACGAGACCAATGTGTCTAAGCTCCTTCCAAAGTTTACCCGAATCATGAATACTATTCAGTCTACCAGCATTGTACTCATCATGAGCTTTTCTAACAGAAAACTTAACACTATTTCTGAGTGTCTTAAATTTACTTCTACATATTTCACTTCCAGATCTCTTCCAAGCTCTAAAAGCATTTTCTCTTTGCTTTAACATATCACGAATATTTCCATTCATCCAAGGGCACACTTTTTTTCGGATTACATGAGTTCTTAGAGGAGCATGTTCCTCCAATGCCGCAAAAATAATATTATGTACAAAAAATTGTTTAAAATCAACAGATTGAGATTGATAAAAAGCAGACCAGTCAATTCGATTTAAAGAAGACAAAAGAGCCTCATCATCAATTCCAGAAATATTCCTATATGTTTGAGTAGAGTATTTGACATTATCAGATTTCCATTTATAGGATATTGAAATAAGTTCATGACCCGCTACAAAAGGAACATGAGATTGAGATGATGACACTATTTTGTCCTCACTATCCACAACGCACAAATCAATCCAAGAAGACGAACTTACAACATGATGAGTAACAGTGAATGGAACAACATATAAATTAAATGATTCAAAAAAATCCCTCATATAAGTTGAGTCCGCTGATATTTTATTAAGATTATAATTAAAATCCCCACAAATTACGACATTGTCATACAAATTAAAAAATCTACTAAAATTATATTCAAAGTCATCAAGATTCTCACCTCCAGGTCTACGATAAACTACAGCTAAAAGTAACGGTTTTGTATTTTTACTAGAAATTTCAATAATTAGGTACACAGGTTTATTATCAAAATGACCTGGGGATGAAAATAATATTTTAAAATTAAGAAATCTTGCAACATACACTGCAACTCCACCTCCCCTCTTACCAATTCTATCTCTACGAATCAAAACAAAATTACTGAGATCAACCATACAATCATTAATTGATTCCGAGAGCCAAGTCTCACTTGATGCTATGACATCGTACGTAAACAATGATAAATGAGTACGCAAGAGATTAATGTTTGACTTGAGCGAGTTGATGTTAATATGGCAAATTTCCAAGGTAGAATCAGTCACTGAATTTAAGACACTAGTAGCAGCTACAGATACATTTCCAGATGCAGAAAGCTGAACAGATGTCAATGATCGTCATTCACTTAACTTATTAAGATCCTCAGAGATATTGATCCTTATAGCTTCCTCCTTATCATGGCGTCTTACAAAAATAGTGCCGTCCCTATGCCACACATACTTGTAGTGCAATGATTTACCTTTCTTAAGTTGCGCATATATATGCTGTAACGCTGTATATTTTACATCTCAAAATTCCTCGACCGTGATGTGGACGTGAAGCCCCCTTTTTATTATTAATAAATTGTTAAGTTATGAAAGGGGTTATCAATATATGTAAATACAGAAAATACACATAATGTCAAATTAAATAATTTTAACCTGTCAAAGAGTTCGAGAGCACATCCGAGAAATAATATCAATTAAGAATAATTTCTGCCGCATTGTTTTTTTATTTTGTTTAAGCCTACTAGATGCGACCAAAACTGCGCAACGAAACTAATGAGAACTCTCAGAAGGAGCGAGCAGAGTTCAGGGAGCAGTCTTGAGGACGAATATCAATTAATGCAGCCAAAAGTTCTTTTATAAGAACTATCATCATTAAACAGAATATTGTTTAATTATTTATGTTTACAAAATTATTTTAAAATGTTATTGCACTGCTCCAGGCTCATTACGTGATAACACAGGCCTGCAAATTTTGGCTTAGTTCTGTTACAGAAAAAGTGGTAGGTGATTCTTATAGCTTTTGCGACGTAGAATACGAATCCGATTTCCAAAATGGCCCATCACGTCAGGATTTCTTGTAATATTGCCTTAAATAGCCAAAAAACGGCTATTTTGGACACTTTTCGGAATTTTTTTTTGTTAACCAAAATTTTTTTGTTCAATTTACAAAATTGCATCGTATAGTACTATATCTAAGCTTTAAAACCCATTTTTAAAAATTGCTTTACGATTTTTTAAAAAAAAGTTATGTAGATTTGAAATTTTTTTATTTAGGAAAATGTAGGTATAAAGAAGTTCAAAATGGCATTTAATTTCAAATCTACATAACTTTTTTTTAAAATATCGTAAAGCAATTTTGAAAAATGGGTTTTAAAGCTTAGATATAGTACTATACGATGCAATTTTGCAAATTGAACAAAAAAATTTTGGTTAACCAAAAAAAATTCCGAAAAGTGTCCAAAATAGCCGTTTTTTGGCTATTTAAGGCAATATTACAAGAAATCCTGACGTGATGGGCCATTTTGGAAATCGGATTCGTATTTTACGTCAAAAAAGCTATAAGAATCACCTACCACTTTTTCTGTAACAGAACTAAGCCAAAATTTGCAGGCCTGTGTAATTAATGTCACTAGTCCAAGATTAGCTGTTTTCCTTAATTTAATATTAAGATTAATATTAAGTCGCGCCTACAAGGCTGCAACCCATTAATCGCTACTTGTGGATGTATTAATCTACATTTATCGACAGGGTGGCCGTTGAGTAAGAGCCGCGTCTAATAGGCGAAAAGTACGAGCAGCTGAGTGGCGCTCGTCCTTCACGTTTTTGTACATCACGGTGGATGGTTGATTGTTTTATAAGGAGAGGAAAAATTAAGATAAAGAAGGAGAAAGAATTATTTATTGGAAATTCCAAAGTTGAAAATAAGTTTTAAAGCAGAAATTGTTATTTTGTTTCGTGGAATAATGGTGAGTTAGACTATTAATTCGCCATAGTAATAAATTTGCTTTGTTTTCTTGTTGAAAATTGCTCGCTCTCCGACTCTTAGCAAGTCTGTTTCTTTGAATAATAAATGTCTCTTTAAAGTTTTAAATATTTAGAATAAATGTGAGTTATGTGTGTAAACTAGTGTTTATTTATTTAACAAAAGTCACTATTCGTTCCCATACCTAGTCGGCAAACTATTTAATCGTAAATTCAATTTATATATTCTAAACGTTCTAATCAATTTTTAAATATGGCTTGTATTTTCTTATATTATTAGAGGAGCAGCCAGGCGCTCAAAATTAATAAAAATACTAAAGATCGCCTTTATAATTTCTCGCCACCGGAATTGTTTTCCCCAATTCTGAGATCATAATTTCCATAAATAAACCGGCGTGGCGACAGGTTATAATGCGTCATGAACACTTTTGGACAGTCTTAGTTTTGAGCATATATGCGTCAGCGACAGTTAACGGGTTAAGTAAAATGTTTTAATTTCTTTCATAAACTTTTATTTAACCCTTTACCGCCCGACTTTTTTGTAGCAGTGCAATTCACGTCATTGCTCGTATATAAAGGTTTTCGGGGTCGCTGAATACGAATTTGAGGTCAGATTTTAAAAATTCAAAATGGCGGATCCAATATGGCGGACATCTTTTCTAAAAATTGATTTAATTTGCCTGAAAATTGTTACTCGGGGGTTTTTGGGAGCGCTGATTACGAATCTGATGTCCTTTTTTCAAAATTCAAAATAGCGGACACATTTTCTAAAAACTGATTCAATTTGCTTTAAAATTGTTACTCGGGGGTTTTCGGGGTCGCTGATTACGAATTTGATGTGAGATTTTAAAAATTCAAAATGGCGGATCTAATATGATGGACATCTTTTCTAAAAACGGATTCAATTTGCTTGAAAATTGTTACTCAGGGGTAACATTATTATTATTACGAATATAGAAATGAATATTTCAATAATCATTATGATGCTGGTTTCGCGTTAGGCATTTGTTTTTCACATTGTCACGAAGGTATCGAACATTTTATTCTGATCTTGTTTTTATTAGGACATTTTATACACTAAATTGAAACCGGTATTTTACATTTTAAAAAATTAAAATCAAAATCGTAATCAGCGACCCCGAAAACCGCTGAGTAACAATTTTCAGGCAAATTAAAACAATTTTTAAAAAAGATGTCCACCATATTAGATCCGCCATTTTGAATTTTTGAAATCTGATATCAAATTCGCAATCAGCGACCCCGAAAACCCCCGAGTAACAATTTTCAGGCAAATTGCATCAGTTTTTAGAAATGACGTCCACCATATTAGATCCGCCATTTTGAATTTTTAAAATCTGATATCAAATTCGTAATCAGTGACCCCGAAAACCTCCGAGTAACAATTTTTAGGCAAATTGAATCAGTTTTTAGAAATGATGTCCGCCATATTGAATGCGCCATTTTGAATTTTTAAAATCTGGCATCAAATTCGTAATCAGCGACTCCAAAAACCCCGGAGTAACAATTTTCAGTTGCTTTGTTTTCTTTTATTTTCGAATTTGTAATTTTGTTGCAAATTTTGCAACAATAATTTTTTTTATTTTTGTTGTAATTACAAAATTGTTAATTATTTTTTAAAACGTAAATTTTTTTCATAAAGGTTTATAAATTTGTGGGTCATAAGCGTTTAGAATTAAAAGATATCTTAATTTTTGTCGAAGTTATAGATTTTAGAAATGAAAAGTGGTTTCGATCGAAACCGCTGGGCGTTAAAGGGTTAAATTTCAATATTTTAATGTTTTCTTCAATTTTCTTGAATATATCTCCCTATATTACAAAAATATATCGCTGTCGCCGCTGATTTAAGATTCCATCCCCCCCCTCCTCAAAGGTCAAAGGGCAAACATAACCTCAAAACCCCCTTCCCACTCACAGGTCACATGGCAAACATAACCTCAAAACCCCCTTCCCACTATATTCTTACTGGGAACCACTTTTTAAATTAATTTCTTATATAATGATATTTAAAAAGTGGTTCCCAGTAAGAATGTACTTGGTTAAATTCATTTTCGACACTTTTTTTACAGCCACGCAACTGACTCAACGGCGAAATACAGAAATCGATGATTATAAATTTTGCTTCGCACGGTCAGATTCTTTTTGTAATATCTCGGGAACCCGTTAATATTTTTTGCTGTTCTTGATCTCTATTTAAAGCTTAGATTACAAGGAATTGTCTGTGAAAGTAACAATTTTTTTCATCAACTTTTCTAAATTTTGCCAGAAGTCAAAGTCAGGGTAAGAAATTCCGAAAAAAATAGAATTATTTTTTTGTGTTTATAACATGATATCTCTCTTCCTATTTATGCAATACAAATGAAAATAGTGGCATTTCATTGAAAATTTAATAAGCTTTCCAATGCAGTTTAAAAAAAGCATCTAGCTTCATTTTTGACTACTTTTTTTAAGTAAATCCCAACTTTAACAAAATTTCACAGTTTCTCCTTCTTTAAAATGGCGAAATTGCAGCAAACGAATTTGCAATTTTTTTAAAAAAAGTGGTACATACAAAAACAAAATTAAAAGTAAAAATTAATTCGCCGCTAAAATCAGTAGAACCAGTATAATAAAAATTTCGTTAATATTTTCTTTCATTTATTAGGTACTATTATTTATGTGCATAATACACTACCGTCCACGAGTAGAGTGAGAGATAAATAAAAAAAATTATCAAATTTTCTCATTTTTTTCTCTTGACTTCAACTTTTTCAAAAACCTCAAAAAATTTAGATAAAAGTTTTTTAAAAACACAAAAATCTTCGTTTGAATTTCAGGTTTAAAATAAGCCTTCGAAAATTAAACAAGTTGTAAATCCAGATGTTCATTACATGAACATTTTGCTTCCTCTATACGATCAGCAAAAAAATTTGCTTCCTCGTGGAGGAAGCACTAACCACAAGAGTCTTTTTAAATTTTTTTTTCTTTCACGTATTGACATATTTTCCATGTTGTTGTCTTCAAATCTAATTAAAAATTAATTTTAAAAATTAGTTATATTTATTATAATTATGATTCAGATAATTGGCTTTTTGCCAATGCCATTTAATTTTCATATTATATTTAATATAAGCAAATATATTTAAATTTAAATCAATGACATTGTTTCCAAGATGTACCACGGGGAGGTAACCAATCTCACATCTCAAAATAATCTAAAAAAAATTTATTATTTGTCTTTAAATTTTTTTAACTATTTTACGTAAATGAATTATAAATTTTGTAAATATTAAAAAAATTAAAGTCAATAAAAAATTTTAAATAATAAATTTAAATATAAAATTTTTTAGAAATTGTTGAAAATTTGTAGTTACATACAGATTTTCTTCACAAACGATTTCCTTTACCATATAATTTTGATTTGATTTTTGACTTCGTTAACTTTCTTCTCTTAGTCTTAGACGAATTCGAATTCTTTGTTACTGTTGATTCTCGAAACATTGCCGACTCTTTAGACTCCCATTCAATAATAAATTTTCCCCGTGGTACTTCATCCAAATTTAATTTTAATTCGTATGCTTCTAAATACTCCTTGTACAATAATTCTTCTAGATTTTAAAAAAAATTAATATTAATAAATTACTAAAGTTTTAAATAAAATATTTCATTAGTAATAATAAAAATTTGTACATACCGAAAAAACAAATTGAACATATCTTGAAATATAAATCTAAACACGAAAACAAAGAACATTATAACACAAACCCATCAAGAATTTCTATTAAAAAGGAGGGTTTCTAATTATAAACAAATACTCTTTGATTACCTTTCATTATCTGCCAACAGTCGAACTATCCGTTTGCTCCACCGTAGGTTCCTACTACTGTTTGATTACCGTTCATTTTCTGGCCACAGTCGACTTATCTGCTTGCTCAACCGTGGGTTCCTACTACTGTTTAATTACCGCTCACTATCTGCCCACAGTCGAACTATTCGCTTGCTCAACCGTGAGTTCCTACTACTTTTTAATTACCGCTCATTATCTGCCCACAGTCGAACTATTCGCTTGCTCAACCGTGAGTCCCTACTACTTTTTAATTACCGCTCAGTATCTGCCCACAGTCGAACTATCCGCTTGCTCAACCGTGGGTTCCTACTACTTTTTAATTACCGCTCAGTATCTGCCCATAGTCGAACACTGCGCTTGCTCAACCGTGGGTCCCTACTACTTTTTAATTACCGCTCACTATCTGACTACAGTCGAACCATCCGCTTGCTCAACCGTGGGTTCCTACTACTTTTTAATTACCGCTCACTATCTGCCCACAATCGAATTATCCGCTTGCTCAACCGTGGGTTCCTACTACTTTTTCATTACCGATTAGTATCTGCCCACAGTCAAACTCCTGTCAAAGAACTTAATTTTCCTCCTTTTAGTTTTGCTTTTATTTATTGTTTGAATATTTTCAGTTTTGCGAATTAATGTATTTTGCAAAATGATAGGTTTGTTTGTCATATCAGAATTGTTTACTTTATTTTCAATTTTTATTATCTCATTGATATTACCTATTTTGCTTTCATCTTTGTAATTAGAAAGATCACTAAAATGAGTATACATATTTTTTTCATTATTTTTTATTTGATCTCTAGTGTTTTGAATTCTTAAATTTTCATTAGTAAATAAACCAATAAAAATCGGTCTATGATCAGAAAAAACGCTCTCATAAACACCTGATAAATAATTTTTAAATTCACTGGATATAAATATTATATCAATTTGAGTATTGAAATTAGTCGTTGATATTCCAGCATCAATACCTCTTTTATACCCAAGGCTAAATAAATGTTTTTCTAAAAATGAATTCACATGATAACAATCAAAACTGAAATCACCAATAATAATATTATTCTTGGTATCACTATTACAATTACTAATTTTACAAAAATTATTCAAAAACATTTTTCTGGAGGTACTAGGAGATTTATAACCACTTATTATATTTAAATATAAAAATTTTTATATTAAGGGGAGGTTCTCATTGCGGGAATCAAAAAAATTTATTTCTTTTTTATTGTATTTTTTGAAAGCTATATATATGTAGAATATGTGTGTATAGCGATTTTTTAATCCGAAGAATATTTTCGTTCTTATGGAGTCTTGAACTCACCGGCGTCCCGAGCACTGAATAACAAATGTCAGGCAAATCGAATCGATTTTTAAAAATTTTGCAAATCTGACCTCAGAATCGTAAAGAGTGACCCTAAATACCTATAGATATTTATCAAATACGCAAATTGAACAAAGAATTGGAAAGAATTTAATTATTGCACAAAAATGTTTCTCAAACTTTAAACGCGTTTTTCTCGAAACAAGATTTTTCAAACTGGTGGGCATCGTAGCGTCTAAACTATTTAGTCAATCAACTTCGGGTTTGCGGCTAATTAAAGGTAACTAAATTCTACTGGGGTTATACCTATAATATGGTAAAATTGTTAACAATAGAGATTTTTACAAGAGGTCAAATATAGAAAAATAATGCAAAATCGCAGTTTTTTTAAAAATGTGTCCGCCATTTTGTCATTTTGTTAACTTTTTAACTATTTTATAGGTATAACCTATTCTTTAGGATGTCATCTTTATAAAAAATTTTGAGTTTTTGTTTTAGACTAAAAATTGCGCAGTGTAGAATGCCCACCGTTTTCCATATTTAAAAAAACATTATTTTCTAGATGCGCCATATTGGCCGCCATTTTGCATTTTTTTAAAAATGAAATATATGTTTTGAAAGTTCAAGAATGTATCTTTATTTAGAAAAAAGAACTACATCGCTAAGTCATAGCCGCTCTTTGCAAAAAATTGTCAAAGTTTGTGTTTATTTTGGCCTTTGCAATGAGAACCTCCCCTTAAATAAATCAACATGATGTTCATAATCGGATATAATAGCGGTTTTACGAACATGCTTGACTATTTGGTATTTTATATTTTCTTTAACAAAACAAATAACTCCTCGCGGTAATTTTGATGATTCATAATCAGATCTGAAAGCTGTTACATAATTATCCATTGATAATTCATTTAATTCTTTCAAGCGGGTCTCAGAAAAAATTAATACATCTGCTTGTTTAAACCATGCATCACATTGTATATGCTTAATATTCTTTTTTAACGAACATGCATTTTGATAAATAATTTTGATATCAACATCAATGTTATTTATATAAGACAGTTTTAATTTTTTGTTAGTTCTGAGTTTATCCATTTCAGAATTTAGTGTTACATCTTTCTTTAAATTGTTTAAAAAATTTAAATCACCTAAAATATATAAATCATTTAAATGACAGACTCTACTAAGAGCAACATAAACCATAGATCTTGTTAGTCGATAACTATTTCTAAAGTCTATACAAACTTCATTGTATGTTTGACCTTGACTTTTATGCACGGTTATTACTTCAGCAGGAACTAAAGGAAATTGCTCTCTTATTATTTTATAACCCATTCTTTCATTTATATTAATTGGAACTTTAGATTTAATTATAGGAACCAGATTTTTATCTATATTGTTTTGTATCATAAATTCTTTATTCGTGCGACGACTATTACATTCTACAGTCTCTTTATAAAAGTCTAGCCATAATATTGATGGTGTGCCATTTTCAGAAAATGTTATATTTTTCAATGTTCCACATGCTCCATTTACTAGTCCATCGGAAACTTTGATATTAGTAATTATCATATACTTTATTTCAAACTTCAAATTTAAATTATAAGAAAATCCTGCACATTGAATTCTTGTCTTATTTTTCATAATTTTTTGTAAATATTTAATTTTCTTTATATCAATTTTACCAAGAATATGATCTTTTGCATAAGAATGATAACATAAATTATCATTATCTTTAATTTTCTTTTCATTATATATATCTACAAGTTTATTTTCTGTGAATAATCTAATAGCTTGTTTTAGAATGTCAGATTCTTTTACGATTCGAGTTGAAAGTAGAGATATGTCTTTTAAACAAATTGTCCCATTTGCTAAATTATTTAAGCTTTCAATAAAAACTTTTTCATCCTTTTGTCTCATTATTTCTGTTAACTCGAAAAATTCAAACTCATCCTAAAGAGGATTACATGCTAATATGCTTAAATCAAAAGTGTTTGGTGTTAAGTAAATTGGTTTGTCCATAACAGGTGGTAATTGATGGAGGTCTCCGACCAAAATTACTGAAACACCCCCAAAACTATCATTAACTCCTTTAATTTGTCGTAATCTAATATCAACTCTATTTAAAGTTGTACTACCAACCATAGAAACCTCATCAATTATTAAAAGTTGTACATCGTTAATTTTCTCGCGTAAACTATTTGCAACATTGGATGACAATTCTTGAATTTTTCCACCGAATTGTGTTATTGGTAATGCGAAAGCTGTATAAAGTGTGACACCATTTTTTAGAAATGCAGCCTTACCAGAAGGGGCACATAATAAAACTTTAGCACTATCAGGACTTAATATTATTTTATATTTATTAATATAATGTGATATTACTTGATAAATAGCATTAATAGTTTTTGATTTACCAACTCCAGCTGAACCACTTATGAAAATTCGCAAAGGAAGTTTATTATTTTTAAAAGAATGTAATATGTGTGTAGTATTTTGAAATTTTTGACGATTGGTTTGAATTAATGTAAGATTTTGATCATAAACCTGTTCTAGATTAACATCTTCTACTTCCAATTTTTCATTTTTCCAAGGTAGAAATAAAAGTATCTGTTCGCGAAAGTAATTATTTTTATCTTGACTTAATTTATATCTTCTGTACCTTAAAATTTTACTTTTTTTTCGTTTCTTAACATTATCTGCTTCGGAAAAATCATTATCACTTAATTCATTATCAAAATTTGTGGGATTTATCAAAGATGTTGCATATTTAGCCAAACATACATTTTTTAATGCTTCACATCCTTTAGAATAATTCTCGAATACATTTGAATACTATATATCTGTAGATGTACAGTGTTTATATAAGTTTCAGACCTACTACATTTTGATAATGGAAGTGACAAAACATGATACGAAGCTTCTTGACTTGATAACACATGGCCGTTAATAAATATATTTGCGAATTTTCTCAATTGTTGTTTTAAATCAAGATTACCATTTTTAACATCAGTTGCTGCTTCACGTATTAATTTTGAAAGTCCTGCATCAATTTTTGTCACATAATTTATCATATATGACGCACACGAAAATGGATCTAGTACAAATTGAATGTCCATGTTAGATTCCATTAAATTCAAAAGCTCTAAATTGTATGCATTAATTGAAACGTCTTCACTTCGTCGCTTTAGAAAAATTTTAGTTCTTTTTAAGGAAGATTTAATAGCGTCAATATATTCTGTTTCTGAAATTTCTAAAATAACTAATATTTCTTCAAATGATATATAAGTTATTTTATCAAAATATAGTTCCATTAAATCTCTAATCTATTTTAAATTACAATTTCTTTTTTTTTAATCTTTTTGTTTTTCATTTTCATTTAAAGGATCAAGAATTAAAGTTTCCTTCATTACGAATTTGGGATAATCAAATCTACATTTTTTCAAATTTTTAAACCCTTTGTAACAAGTTTGTGTATGAGAATGTCTTTGAAATGATACCAATGGATTCTTTGAATCATATTCACATGTTATGAACTTATCAATGAACTCCGTACATTCAAGACGAGAAGCATTATTATTATTATTGTCAAAGATAGGTGCATTATTACAATAAACAAGATTATGGGTATGAACAGATCCTATAGATTGAAATTCTCTTCTTTCAAAATAATCATTTACAAAATTTTCTCGAAATGGGCCATATTTACTTTCTAAAATTTTTCGTATTTCATTAAATTTGTTTTCTACATACCGCACGCATGTGATGGGATCATCTCTAATTAATTTAGTTTTATTATCTAAATCTAAATGAAGCGCATCAGTAACACTAATAGATTTATGAAATTTCAATTTATATAATATTTGTAAGAGCTCTGGACAATTTTTTTCATTTGCGGAAAATGTAATAAAGAATGTAGGAATTCCACATAAATTTATTAAAGAAAATAATTTCTTTTTCTTATATTCCCAATAAGCAGGAGATCCTCTAACATGTTTTAAGAATCAAAAGCCATCATCGTGTTTAATTATACCGCTAAGAAAATCTTGGTCTTTAGCTTGTTTTGCATTTATAACATTTTTTAATTTATGTTTTCTTAGGCAAATATTAAGATTAAAATTTACAGACAATTCAATCTTTTTATCAGCCATAAATAATATGTTTGTAGGATTACACGCTCGACGATCAGTACGTCGACATTCTGATTTTATGCGTTCAGAATAAGTTAATTTCTCTTCTGGATCCATAGGGAAACCACCATATATTGATGGAAATGAAAGTTCTTGAATATGTTTCATAACATGCCATGGAAGAGGGGATTTCCCTTGACCAGGAGCAATATTGATTACATCATTACTAATAAATTTATTTCTATCAATAATTAGAACTTCATCATTATCATTAAAATTATTTTCACTATTAAATTCATTTTCAGTTTTATCATTCAAAGTATAATCATTATCAATTTCATTTTTAGTTTCATTACACTCATTCGTTTTTTGCTCATTATCATTGCAATTTTTGTTATTATATTCATTATTTTTGTTAACGTATTTCTCATCTCGCGGAGAAACAATGAAGTTAATTTCTTTTTCAAATGATTTATCATATGATTTAAAAAAATTATCATCAATTTTTATTTCATTTTGTAAATATAAAGGACAACCAATTAAATGTTCTAAAGCTTCGCATATTTTTGATGGTTTTATTGTCTCAAACATATAATGAGATTTATGATCTTCATGTCTCTTAAGTTTTATTTGCACAGTTGATAATTCATTAAAGTTTCTTGGCAAAACTTTAATCATTTCATTAATTTCAACTTTAATGTTTGCAACGCTACCCTTAAAAGATAATTGAGAATTCATTGAAAATGGTAATAATGCCTTTATTTGCCCGAATGGTATAATTGGTGAAACTAAACGTTCTTCAACCAGCGATAAACTTCTTACAATTTCTGGAACGTCATGATATTTAAGATTCCAATTAGCTGCCATTTTAGGAACTTGGAATGTTGTTACATAATTTTTACAAGTTTTGCAAATTAAATTCAAATCGTTATTTATAATTAATGAAAAAATTTTCTAAGTCATTTTTAGAGCATTTATCTAGTAAAAGATTTTCAATACTTTCCTTCTTCCATGAAACTAATGATCTTGAGAAAAATAAATTATCACAACAAACACATGAATCATTTGGACCATTCTTTCTTTCCATTATAAAGTCATAGATCAATTTATTTTCATTATAATTTTCACTATTTAAATTTAAATTGTTTCTAATATTCGTCATATAACGTTCTCGAAAATAAAGAAGTTCATCTAACCGTTGATCTTTTTTCCTTTTCTTTTCCCTTTCTTTCACTGATTTATTAATATATATATCGTTCAATTTTTTATAATTGGAATTCTTTATTTTTTCTGAATTAGAAAAAAAACTATCTTTCCTTAAATTTTTTATTCTTTTTTGATTTTTTATTTTTTCTCTTTCTGAATAATTATTGTCAGATCTCAATTTTTTAATTCGTATAGTATTTTTTGTACATTCGTTAGTCTTATAATTTTGGTTACTCCTTAAAATTTTATTTCTTTTATTATTGTTATTTAGTTCTCTATTTTTATAAAATGTGGTTTCTCTCATAGTTTTATTACGTTTTATATTTAAAGCATTTTCTCGTTTTAAATACAATTCATTATTCCGTAAACTTTTAATTCGATCATTATTTTTAATCAATTCTGTATTTTTATATATTTCATTGGATCTTAATACTTTATTTCGTTCAATGTTTAATAATTTTTCTGTTGTTGAAAAACTTATATTATTACGTAAAATTTTATTACGCTTAAAATTTCCAACCGATTCTTTCCCACAATACGCCTCTTTTAAACGTAAAATTTTAATACGCTTAATATTTTCAACCGATTCTTTCCCACGATACGCCTCTTTTAAACGTAAAATTTTATTACGCTTAATATTTTCAACCGATTCTTTCCCACGATACGCCTCTTTTAGACGTAAAATTTTATTACGTTTAATATTTTCAATCGATTCTTTCCGACTGTACGCCTCTTCTAAACGTAAAATTTTATTACGCCTAATATTTCCAATTGACTCTTTCTGAATGTACGCCTCGTTAATACGCAAAATATTATTACGCTCTCTATTTTTAATTGCTTCTGTATTACGATACACGACATTAGATCGCAATATTTTATTACGTTGCATATTTTTAATTGTTTCATTTTTTCGATAAGTGACATCATTTCTTAATAATTTCTTATGTTTTTTATTCTTTAATAATTTTAATAATTTAGAATGAGTCTTATCTCTGGTCAAAACATTCAAAGAAAGATTTTCTTAACAATTCTCTCTCATTTTTCTCATAATATCTTTTCTCATTTTTTTACGGTGATCAAAACTTTTTCTTTTACACAAACCCATTTTATAATATAAATATAAAATATAAATATAAAAACCGTTTATAAATAAAATAAATTTTGATTTTATAAATTTAAATAAAATTATAATACAAATTTAGCATAATAATATGAGTTTTTTGTTTCTTTCGATTTTAGAAATGTGATAATTCAATTGTATAATAAAAGTCTTCTATAATTTTCAAAAATTATCTGAAAATAATAAATTATAAACTTTTAAAGTTATTAGATTTTTTGCGCAACATTAAGGAATAACATAACCCAGAGCTAACTAAAAATATAGTATTTTTTTAATAAATTATTTTAAGAAAAATACATTTTATTATCATAAAGCTTAATTTTATTTAACTTTAAACACATATCAAACTTAATTTAATAAAAATAAAAAATTTCTTTTTCAAAACGTCTCCCATATTAATTATCAATTAATTTAATTAATTGATATTCAGTATATTTTTTATGTGCTCTGAGTGATATTACCCCTTAAATCGCTGGTTTCATTTACAGGTCACAGAAGTTCAAGAACTTTTTTTAATTAGAGAAAACTAAGGTAATGTCAAAGAATTTTGTTCAAATTTAGGGAAATTTCTATAAATTCATTAGATTTGTGTAAAAGGCTAAAAGCTTGATCAAGTATTTGCTAGCTTTTCGTTTTTTTAAAACGAGTTTTTTTTAAATTCTAAATTTTGGATCCATTATGGCGACCAAATTTTTTAAAAGTTAACGTATGTAAATAAAAATATTTACTCGAGTCTTAAAATTACCGTAATTAGTTTTTAAATCATTTTCTTTAATTTTGGTCATTAAATTAACATAAACAATTTTTTAAAAATTGTTTATTCAGGCTTCGCACTCCATTATAAGTTTAAAAAAAGTAAGAAAAACTTGCTTCAATAACAAAAAAGTAAGAAATAGTAGCCTCGGTGACAAAAAAAATAGTATTCATATTTTCAGGGGTGTATACTCACCGGGAATAAGCCAGAAATTTTATTTAAAGCCAGGAATTATTACACAAAATTAGAAAAAATTTTATTATTTTAATTTGTGTTTTAAAAATAGCTTTTTATTTCAATTTTTATAGATAAATTTTTATTCTCTAAATTTGAAATATTTAAAAATAATTAATTGGATATTAAAAATCAGTTATTGATTCAAATATTCTATGTAAATAAATAAATTTTAAAAAGTTTATCGAATTAATAGAAATTTCCTGAAATGCAACTAAAAATAATTAAATTTTATAAAGAGTCACATTCTAATGTATTCATTCTTCTTAGGGCGAAGATTAATAATTAAAATTTTTATTAGTTAATTTAAAAAAAGATACATTAAATTGAAAATAAATTAAAAATCTTTTTATTTAAAGATAAATTTTTTAATAAAATTGAATTTTCACAAAGTTTGTTTAAAATTTGTTAAAAAAAAGATTTTTACAAATTTTTAATTCTGTTGTTTCCAGATAATTAAATTTTTATAAACAAATAATTTAAAATTGTTTATATACTCAATTGAAATTTCTTTACATTCTATTAAAAATAATTTACTTAAGTTTTTTTAAAAATTTTTATTCAAATTTTTCGAAAATAATCTAAAAAAACTAAAAATAATTAAATTTTATAAAGAGTCACATTCTAATGTATTCATTCTTCTTAGTGCGAAGATTAATAATTAAAATTTTTATTAGTTAATTTAAAAAAAGATACATTAAATTGAAAATAAATTAAATTAAATTAAAAATAAATTAAAAATCTTTTTATATAAAGATAAATTTTTTAATAAAATTGAATTTTCACAAAGCTTGTTTAAAATTTTTTTAAAATAAGATTTTTAAATTTTTTTAATTCTGTTGTTTCCAGATAATTAAATTTTTATAAACAAATAATTTAAAATTTTTTATATACTTAATTGAAATTTCTTTACATTCTATTAAAAATAATTTACTAAAGGTTTTTTAAAAAATTTTAATTCAAATCTTTCGAAAATAATCAAGGAAAGTTAGTTATAATTTTATTTTATGAAATTTCTTCGCTATATAAAACATATTCAATTATTTTCATAAATAGTAAAACTGATTGCAGAATTTCAATTATTTTTAATCCAATTTTAATCGAATTCCTCGAAAAAAGTAATTATTCTTAAAAATTTGATTAAAATTCGTCGAAAGAATTCAATTATTTCTAGAAACTGTAAAAAATTCTTCTCAAGAATGTAATTATTTCCATAAATAGGAAAATTCTTTACATTAACTAAATTCTCTTGGATATTCTTTTAAAAATTCTTCAGAAGAATTCAATTATTTTCAAAAGTAATAAAATTCTTCACAGAAATTCAATTATGTTTAAATTTTTTTTTAATTATCCTTAAAATTTGAATTATTTTTATAAATAATTAAATTGTACTCCACAATAGAATTAATTTCAAAAATTTTAATAAAGTTCTACGAAAAATATTTAATAATTTTCACAAATAATAACATTCTTTGTAAGGATTAATTAATAATAAAACAAATCTAAAAAAACTAGTCAAAATAATTTAATTATTCATAAAAACTCTTATAAAAAATTTGGAAGCCATTTGTAGATTTATTTATGTTCGAAATAAAATAAATTTAAATTTAATAAGAAAATAAAACCGGGAAAAACCGGGAATTTTGTTAAACAAAAATAGTAGACGAAAATATTATACATTTAAACTACCACTATTTTTAATTTTATTGAATTTAATAAATAAAATTTAACAGTGAATCTTAATTCTGTAATGTTTTAAAATATTATTTTTTTTAAATGTTATTATTAACCCCTTGACTGTGGATGACGTGTATACACGTCATGAAAAAAACTGGCCCAAACAGTGGATGACGTGTATACACGTCATGGCCCGAACAAGAAAACATCTTAACGTATATTCGCAAAAATTTTTACTCGGGGGTTTTTGGGGTCGCTGATCACGATTCTGAAGTCAGATTTTCAAAATAAATCATTTTTCATCCAAAATGGCCGCCAAAAATTTTGAAAAATTTCAAAAGTGGATAAATTCTTTTAGAAATTCTTACTCGGGGGTTTTTGGGGTCGCTGATCACGATTCTGAAGTCAGATTTTCAAAATAAATCATTTTTCATCCAAAATGGCCGCCAAAAATTTTGAAAAATTTCAAAAGTGGATAAATTCTTTTAAAAATTTTTACTCGGGGGTTTTTGGGGTCGCTGATCATGAATCTGAAGTAAGATTTTAAAAACAAATAATTTTTCATCCAAAATGGTCGCCAAAAATTTTGAAAAATTTTAAAAGTGGATAAATTCTTTTAATAATTCTTACCATTTAAACTTTGAAAAGCTAATAACAGATTCGTAATCAGCGACCCCGAAAACCCCCGAATAACGAATTTTAAGCGTATTCAATGAATTTTTCAAAATCGTGTCCGCCATTTTGGATCCGCCATTTTGAATATTAAAAAACTAATGTCAGATTCGTAATCAGCGACCACGAAAATCCCCGAGTAACGATTTTTAAGCGAATCCAATGAATTTTTCAAAATCGTGTCCGCCATTTTGGATCCGCCAT